CTCCCAAGAGGAGAATGGAAAAGGGATTGCAGCACAGTCACCCTACCTGAGGTTGCTTTCTCACTTTCCTTCTCACTCTGTCTCTCTCTGCTGAGCACATATACCCAATAGCAAATTTTTTTTTTTTTTTGGAGAGATTTTCACTGTAGGGCGCGTGCGCTCGCCAGACAGAGAGAGACATAGAGACAGAAAGTGAGAAATCACCCCCCAGGGGGGATGGTCACACCGCAATCCTTTCTCCTCCATTCTCCTCTCAGGATCTTGGGCACGCACGCACACGCGCCCGGCGTGAGTTTTAAGCCACTGGGTCTGGGACACGAACTGCGGTCGACTACGTGGGAGTCCAGTGACATAGCCATTACGCTAACTGCTGGTTCCCCCCAATAGCAAATTTTTAAAAATAGTTTCTCATATATGAAAAATAATGTTTATTGTAGTATTATTTCTGTGTGATGTTCCATATGATCAAGTACTATAGAATCACTGAAAACATTTAAGCCCAGTGGCCTAGTGAATAGAGGAACTGGAATAGCCCGCATAGTCAACTGTGCAACTCAACTATGGGACCCAGCACTCTGAGAAAAACAGTGAGTATGTGTAAATGCATGCCCAAATTCTCAACAGGAAGGAGAAATAGAGAAAGAATTGTGGTATGAGGACACCTCATTGGGGACTGCTTTCTCTGTGTGTGTGTGTCTCTGCCAGTTTGCATCTCTCCAGCTAGTGCACTTAGTCTCTAGCAATTTTTTTTTAAAGGGAAGGGGGCCAGTGGAATGGTGATTCAGGCAGCTGGATACCACATGCCCAGCTGTGTTGTTTGAGGCCCTCACCCAGCAGCTTGAAAAGTACATAAGTATACATGCCCAAAATTCCTGAAAAAGGGTATTTTCTCACTCTCTCTCTTATTCTGCATCTCTCCAGAGAGCACACACATCCTCTAGCAATTTTTTTTTATATTATCAAAAATAAATACATAAAAGGTAGGTTTAGGGGACTAGCAGATGGCGTAATGGTTAAGTTGTCGCTGGACTCCCACATAGTCAATTGCAGTTTGAGTCCCAGACCCAGTGCTTATTAAAACCCATGCCAGGCACATGTGCATGTGTGCCCAAGGTCCCAAGAGGAGAATGCAGGAGAAGGGAATGAGGCGTGGCCAGGGCCCTGGGACTGATTTCTCACTTTCTGTCTCTCTGTCTCTCTGGCAAGTGCACGTGCCCTACACTAAAAATCTCACTTAAAAATAATGAAAAAGGTACTTTTAGATCTGTACAAATGAAAAACATTAAGATATTAAGTGAAAACAGCAAAATATAGAACTATATGATCATTTTCCTACATATATATATATATATATATATACTTTTTCAATAGAAATGAGAAAAACACATATTGACAGAGATTGCTTTAGAGGAAAGAGACAGAAAATTCTTTTTTTTCTTTTTTTTAGTTTCACTATATGGCACATGCACTCATGTCAACGTAAGTCCCATTTACTAGTTCCCTTTTCTATACCTCCTTTGTATACAAAAAAAAAAAGACTAATAAATGCATTATTTTTTGTTAAAGAATTATTTATTTATTTAATTCCACTCATTATTATTTTTTAATTTGACCAGTCAGAGACAGAGAGAGAGAGAGAGAGAGAGGGAAAGCAAGAAAGCAAGCCACCAGGTCCAGGACTCAAATCATGGTTGGCCATGTGGGAGTCCAGCACCTTTAACCACCACGCCACCTGCCAGCCCCACAAATGCATTATTTAATAATAAAATTCTTAAATATTCTCTTATACTCTGATTTTCTTAAAAATAACTTGTAGATTTTATTTGTCATTATCATTATTCAATTTGCTACAGGCACTCATCAGAGAGAGACAGAGAGAGGGAAAGTGAGAAAGCAAGCTACCAGGTCCAAGATTCGAACTGTGGTCAATCATGTGGGAGTTCAGCACCTTAACAACCACACCACCTGCTGGCCCACTCACACTCTGATTTAAAAGCAACTACTATTAAACAAATCTTTCCTCTGAGAGTAAGTTTTAAAAAGTTAATTTTTCTTGTCTGTAACTTTAAAAGACCTAAAATGTGCTACCTAACATATTATTAGGTTGTCAGAAAAATCATGATGTACTTTTGCACAAAAAATACATCATGATCTTCTTGATGACCAAATAGTTATAGACTGAACTGTGAACCTTCCCAAATTCTTCCGATGAAGCCCTAACTTTCATTGTGACTATATGTGGAGACAGAGCCCTTAAAGAGATAATAACTAAGGTCAAATGAAGTCATATGGGTGTGGCTCTAATCCAAGGAAAAGACACATCACAAATACATGCTTGTAGAGGAAAGGCCATGTGAGGACACAGTGAGAAGATGGCTATCTGCAAACCAAGGAGAGACCTCAGAAAAAGCCAACCCTGCCAGCACCTTCATCTTGGACATCCAAATTCCAGAAGTATAATAAAACAATTTCTGTCATTTAAGTCATTCAGACAGTGGTATTTTCTTTTGGCAGCTATAAGCAAACTATACAGCCATGAATCAGTACATTTTAAAAATCTGAAACCATTTTTAAAAAGCTGTGGGCTAGCCAGGCGGCATGGTGGTTAAGACAGCTGGATTTCATATGGCTGATTGTGCTGTGTGAGGCCTGGACCTGATGGCTTGAGAAATATGTCAGGCATGTGTGCGTGGGGGCCCAAAATCCTGAGAAGAGAACAGAGGAGGAGAAGGGATTGCAGTTTGGCCAACACCCCCAGGGGAGTGCTTTCTCTCTCTCAGTCTCTCTCTCTTTCTCTCTCTCTCTGGCATGCACATGCACCCTACAGAAAATTTTAAAAAGAGAATTGGGGGCCAGTAGGTGGCATGTTGGGTGGAGTTAAAGCACTGGACTCCCACGTGGTCAGCCACAGGTTCAAGTGCTGGATCGGGCAGCTTAAGAATCACACTGGGTGCCATGTGTATGTATGCTCAAAATCCCACGAGAAGAATGGAGGAGAAGGGACTTCATGACAGCCATCCCCCTGGGGGTTGATTTCTAACTTTCCCTCTGACTCTCTCTCTCTCTCTCTCTCTCTCTCTCTGAAGAGTGCAAGCACCCTATGGAAAAACCTTTAAAAAAAAAAAATTAAGGTCAGCAAATGATGTGGAGGTTAAGTCTGCTAGATGCCACACAGCCAATTGCATAATTCGAATCCTGGACCCAGTAGCATGAAAACATGCCAGGTGTGTGTGCTTGTGTGCCCAGAATCCACAGAAGAGAATGGAGGAGAGGGACTGTAGTGTGGCCAAACCCCCTGAGGGGGAGGGTGATTTCTCCCTTTCTCTCTGTTTTTCTGTCTGTCCCTCTCTAGTGAGCTCATGTGCACTATAACAAAAACTTAAAAAATTGTCAAGAGTTGTTCTAGAAAAAGAAATAGTACTTGAAAGGTTATCTAAAAATTAAAAAAAAAAAAGAGGGGGGGACCAGTAGTTAGTGTAATGGCTATGCCGGTGAACTCTCATGTAGTCGACTGCAGTTTGAGTCCCAGACCCGGTCGCTTAAACTCACGCTGGGAGCGTGTGCGTGCGTGCCCAAGTCTCTCTCTGTCTTTCTGGCAAGCACACGTGCCCTATAGCAAAAACCTTTCCAAAAGAAAAGTGTGGGGCCAGCAATTGGTGTAGTGGTTAAGGCACTGGACTACCACATGGCCGACTGCAGTTTGAATGCCAGACCGCAGGATCTGCTTTCACTAATTAATAAAATTACGTAATTCTTTTTCTTAAAAGTGTTACCTACTAGCTTTATTCGATATAACCCTATAAAAATCCTTAATAGTGATATATTTAAAGTCCAGATTTATAAGCAGAATAGTTTTTGAGGTACAGGTGTGCAACCTTTAAGAGAGAAACTCTAAGGGCCAGCACATGGCATGGAGTTTAAGGTGCTGGATGCCACATGGCCTACTGCACAGTTTGAGTCCCAGACCCAGTGGCTTGAAAATCACATCAGGTGCGTGAGCAAGCATGCCAAAAGTCCCAAGAGGTAAATAGAGGAGAAGGGATTGTGCTGTATACATCCCCAGAAGGGTGATTTCTCACTTTCTCTCTCCCTCCCTCTCTCTCTCTCTGATGAGCATACTCACCCTGTAGCAAAACTTTTAAAAAAAATTTTTTATTAAAAAAAGCATGCAAAACTTTAAAATATAATTTACTGGGGCCAAATATGGATGGTTAAGGTGCTAGACTCCCACGTGGCTGACCACAGTTCGAGTCTCAGACATGATAGCTTAAAAATCACACCAAGTGTGTACGCGTGCCCAAAACCCTAGGAAGAGAATAGAGAAGGGATTACAGTGTGGCCATCGCCCCAGGGATTTCTCACTTTCCCTCTCACTGTCATTCTCTGTCTCTCGGGCTCATGGATGCACCTTAGAGCAAAAACCTTTATAAGTGTGTATGTACACACACATACACATGTATATACATATATATACACATATATATATATAAATCAAATTTATTTGGGGCCAGGAAGTGGCATGATGTTTAAGGTGCTGGACTCCCACATGGCCAACTGCGGTTTGAGTCCCTGACCCAGCAGCTTGGAAATCACACCAGGCTATCCCCCCTTAAAGGGATGATTTCTCACTTCACTTTCCCCCTCACTATGTCTGTCTGTCTTTGGCAAGCATACTTGCCCTATGGTAAAAACCTAAAAAAAAAAAAAAAAAAAAAAAGGGGGTGTGTGTGTGTGTGTGTGTGTGTGTGTATACACATACACATTATAATAATGAGATTAAGTTTCATGAAGAAATCAACCAGGCATAAGTTATACTTAAATTGAAAAAGACCCTAACCTCAAAGCATCATTCTAGCATATGTCAGAAATAAACTAATTTAAAATCTGCAATTAAATAACACAAGACACCCCAAATATGACATATAAAAAATTGGTTTTACTAAAATAGTTTAAACACACCAAATAAAACTACATACGTAAAAGAAATTAATTTTATTTACCCCCTGCAAAGGGAGATTCCAGCGTTCTGAGCTTCTGAATTTGGACCGTGTTGATTGAACATAAAAATCCTCTGGTTTTGCACTTAACATCTTTCTTATCTGCAACTAGGATAGGAAAATAATCAGTTCAATTGAAATATATATAATAGCTAAAACAGCTAATAGAACCATTATATTATTCTGCATTAATATTTTGCCAACAGTTTCTCTTTTTTTAGAATTATTTTATTTAACTTTACTTATTTGTTTTTGTTTTTTATTTAACCAGAGAGGGACAGAGCAAGCAAACAAGTAAGAGAAAATGAGATAGCAAGCCACCAGGTCTGGGATTCGAACCATGGTTGGCCATGTGGGAGTCCAGTGCCTTTAGCCACCATGCCACCTGCCAGCCCCAACAGTTTCTGAAAGTTTTAAATTCAGTTTATTTTTAATTTAATCTATAGGCAATTTTATTTTTTTAAAAAACTCTGAGAATAAAGGTAGGTTGGTAAGGCTGGTGTGGACGGCACCCTCTAGTTACAGATAAAATTCTTTACAATGTGGGCTCTTTTACATCATCAACACATCAAAAACTCTACAACCCAGCCATCTGTGGTGATGCCATACAACACAGTGCTCCATTATGCTGAGGCCACCTGGGTAGGTCCTGGGTTGGTATACTGAGGTCTCCCTGTACACTCCAGGCACATGCCTTTGATCCTGAGTAGCTGCTGTTGGTGGGTGGATCACAGTATGAAGATACTGCTGGAGATGCCCTCCTTCCTCACTCTCCTCTTCCCCCATTTCTCTCCACCTTCACTCCTCACTCCCATTACCTCCATCCTTCCCCACTCCTCCTCCATCTATCCAACCTCTCCTCTCTCTCTTCCTCCCTTCTCCCCTCCTCTCTCTGAAGAAATCATAAATAAAAAGCAAAAAACCCTCTATAACCCAACTATATTGAATTACTCAGCCTTCTTCAAACATGTCATACAGTTTCATATATCTAGACCTTTGTATTACTACTCCCTTAATCTAGACTGTGCTTCGTTCTAGTTCTCCCTCATGCAATACTCCAGATTATATTCAAAATTTGTCTTTTATCCACAAAACCATCACACCACTAAGACATTCTTTCTCTGGGTATTAGTACTCGGCATTTACATTATTTAAATTATAGCTATTTGTTTACATGTCTGTCTTGTTCAAACTATCAAACTCCTTAAAAAGAGTCCTGCCTTATTCACCCTTGTATCTCCAAAGAATGTGGCTCATGACATGTTGAGTAAACATATGAATGAATAAGTAAATTAATAAATTGTAACCACAATAATTTGTTTGGAATTTGAATATCTAACTTTCACATTAAAATCAGGTTATAAATAATGGGGCTAGCAGATGGCATGGAGGTTAAAATGGCTGGTTCCCACATAGCCAACTACATGGTTTGAGTCCCAGACCCACTGGCTTATCAAACAAAATGCACTGAGCACGTATGTTTGCATGACCAAAGTCCCAAGAGGAGAATGGAGAAGGGATTGTAGCATGACCAGCCCCCTAGGGGGTGATTTTTTACTTTCCCATTCTCACTTGCTCTTCGTCTCTCTCTCTAGCAAGCAATCATGCTCTATAGCAAACTAAAAATAAAATTATAACTGATGATTAAGCTTTAAATCCAGCGTATAAAATATAAAATATAAGCATTATATCAACTACAACCAGTAAAAATTCATAAAACTATTTCTATAGAAAAGCCTAAGTAAGAAAGATAAAATTGAAGAAATCATCTCAACTCAACTCTCTGGCATCTTTGAGAGATAAAATTAAACCTCCAGGGCATCAATAACTGGAAAGAGCATGGAGAAGTAACTTTTTATTTATTGCTATTCTTTACTAAAAGCACCGCTTCAGAATTCCTCATCTGGAGCCAACTCCATGGAACAAAGGTAATGACTGTACTGTTCAGAAGAAGCCAGATCCCACATAATGACTATAATTCCAGTCCCCAGATTGGCTGCCTAAAATGCACTAGGCCCTTGCTCAAGCGTCCAAGATTTGACAGGCTGAAGTGATCATGGCATCACCTGACCTTGTGGAAGATTCTCATCTCCCCTCCCTATCCCCACCACTCTCACTTGCACACATACATGCCTTCTATCATAAATAAAGAAAAAACTTGTTTTTAATTTGTAGAGGGCCCATGCGCTCTCTAGAGAGAGAGAAAGAGAAGAAAAACAAGAACACATCCCCCCGTGGAGGGTGGTCACACTGTAATCCCTTTTCCATTTTTCCCCACCTTTGAAGATTTTGGGGACACACCACTGGCGTGTTTTTCAAGCCACGGAGTCCAGGACTCAAACCACAGTCGGTCATGTGGGTTTCAGCCACCCTAACCACCATACCACCAGCTGGCCCAGGATAAAGTTTTTTTTTTTTTTACTTTTTTTTTTTTTTTACTTTTTTTTACTTTATTTATTTTTTACTTATTTTTTTTTGTATATACATTCAACCACATTGTTTAGCTTACAATGTGAGCATTTCAATATGTGAACATTTCTCCCCAGTCCTGTTGATCAAAATATCTTCAACCGATAACACCACACTTCCCCATCCCATCAATGTTCTACCTCCGTATCCCTTCTCCAAAGGATAAAAATTTTTTTAAAAAATAAAATAAGGGCTCATCTACAAAAAAAAACTAGATTATCTCTAAGACAATCATTTGCTGCATATTGATTAGAAAACAGGTGTCTTTGAGGCCAGCTAGTGGCATGATGATTAAGACTCTGGATTCCCACGTGGCCAACTATGGTTTGACTCCCAGACCCAGCAGCTTGAAAATCATGCCAGGCGTGTGTATGTCCATGCCAAAAATCTGCAGAGGAGAATGGAGAAGGGATTCTCATGAGGCTATCCCCTTGGTGGTGGGGGGGGAGGATTTCTCACTTTCCCTCTATCTTAGTCTCTCTTGGGTGAGCACATGCAAACCATGGCAAAAACCTCAAAAAAGAAAAGAAAAAAAGAAAAGAAAACAGATAGCTTCTTAGGGAGTAAGGCAAAGGTTTCAAGTTGTTTGTAGCCATGGATACTTTGTAAGTTATTTAACCTACACTGGATTCTGTGGCATACTCTATTTTCCAAACACAGACACACCAATAGTCCCCACCTTACATTTTATTCTTACAATGTGACAATTGAGAGTTCTCCAGTATGAGGATTGTATCCCTTCCCCTTGAATTTGGACAGGACGGTAAGATCCCAGGCTAACCACAGAAAGCAATAAAGTTTCAGCCTGGCTCACCTACACTCGTGCACACGCCTTCCTTTCTGTGCCCCACCACTCTTTCTCTCTGTCTCAGTACACACAACTCAAAAACCCTATGCTGTGGTAAGCAATCTAGATACCCTAAAGCTGCTATACAGGAAAGAGCACAGAGAGGCTAAAAGGAGAGATAACAAGATATGTATACTTGCCATGTTACAAATATTTAAATAAGGATGGTCCCAGAAAGGATTTTCTAGTTCACCTTCAATTAAATAAAATATACTATTTTTCTGAAACATTGATTTACAGTTTTACAGTATTTTAAATTTTATTAAAGAAACAAATAGCAAAATACTTACACTGTTATAAATTCCAAAGATAATGAATAGGTTAGAAGCAAAACTAATACATACCTCATGTAAATCAGAAGATGAAGATTTTTTCCTTTTTCCTTCTGTGACAATTTCTACAAAAACATAAGGCAAGAAAATTATCATTTAACATCTAAATCAGGCAAATAATTTAATAAAACAGATCCTTCATGTATCCCTTGCTTTAAAACAGCTTATAAAATTTAGAATTTATACCGATACATTTTATATACCCTGAATGGCTAAACATAGGGCCAAAAACTAATTACATATGGAAGCCAACGAGGAGTGTGGTTAAAGCGCTGGAAGGCACTGAACTCCCACATGGCCGACCACAATTCGAGTCCTCAGCCTGGTGTCTTTCTCTCCCTCTCTGTCTCTCTCTGATGAGCATATGTGCCCTACAACAAATTAAATCATAATAATAATAAATATAACTAAATAAAATTTTTG